TCCTACTAAACCTTAAACTTTCAGTGCAGATCCCGGCCACCGCCCCGCCTCGGCACTCACCTCGGAAACGCTGCCTGGACGTACCAGTAAACCTTAACTCAGCGCGCCGCCGACGCACCGGACCGCGCCAACAATGCGCGGCCCGCGCCTACCGCGACGCTGACGCCCAGTCCCCGCTGACGCCGCCGTCGCGCTACAGACCCCACGGACGCCGCCGACCATGTCGTGGACGTCCAGACAGGCCGCAGATGCCGCGGACGCCGCCGATGCCGTTACCGCTTGGGACGCGCCCGTCGCACCGACCTTGCCGCCGACTCTCTGGACGCCAACGACGCCCCCGACGCGCTGACCGCGCCGCCGACACTCCCGACACGCCAACCGCGCTGCCGATGCCATCCGCGCCAGGGACACCGCCAAGGCGCCTCGGAAGCCGCCGTCGCGCCGCAGACGCTGCGGACAGGCCGACCGCGCCGCGGATGTCCCCAACGCGCCGCAGACTCCGCGGATGCCGTCAGCCTCTGGAACGCGCCGACAGCGCCGCTGACGCCACTGACGAAATCAGCTCCTGACCGCTGACCGCGCCGCAGATGTTCCCGACGAGCCTACTGTCCCGCCAACGCCACTAACGCTATAAGCGGCTGGGAAACCGCCGAACCGCTGACAGCGCCGTGGATGCCCCCGACCAGCCTACAGCGAGGACACTCCCGCGCGCCACCGATGCTATCCACAGGCGCCGCCGTCGCGCCGCAGGCCCCGCGGAACCCGCGAACGCCCACGACGCTCCGACCGCGCCGCCGACGCCACCGACGCTGTCAGTGCTTGGGACGCCACCGAACCACTGACCGCGCTGTGGATGCCCCCCACTAGCTTACCGTGCCGCCGACCGCGCCGCCGACGCCATCCGCGCCTCGCACGCCGCCGACGCCATCCGCGCCTCGCACGCCGCCGACGCGCCGCCGACGCGCCTCTGATGCCGCCGATGTGCCCACCGCACCGCGGACACCCCCAACGCGCCGACCTTGCCTCAGACGCCGCCATTGCACCGCAGACCCCGCAGACACCGTCAGCGCCTGGGACGCCGTGGACGCCCATTAGGCGCCAACGTCCCTGGGATGCCGCCAAACCGCTGACCGCGCCGCGGATGCCACCGAGGAGACTACCTCGCAGCTGACACTCCTGACGCACCGACCCCGCCGCCGATGCCATCAGCGCCTGGGACGCTGCCCTCACGCCGCTGACGCCGTTAGCGCATGGGACGTCGCTGACGCGCCGAGCTTGGCGTGTACGGCGCATACCCTCTGGACGCCGCTGACGCCGACTGCGCCGCGGACGCCACTGACGCTGTCAGCGCCTGGGTCGCCGCCAACCCGCTGACCGCAGGTAATAGGTTTGGCGAAGATTCTTTTCTCTTCCTACTTTAATGGAAAAAATAAGTTTGGAATTCCTCTGAAAGGCTGAAGAACTGTCCTTACCTTATGTTGAGTTGAGGCTATTGCTTTGGGGTCACAATTTGGCCCAGAGAAAGTCTGTCCTTATTCTCCTTTTCAGATAGTTTTGCAGGGATTCAGAAATGCAGGAGGTAGTGGTTCCAATCCTGCACAGCAGGGCCGTGTGCCGACAGCTTTTCCCGGGTATCTTTCAAGTCTGGGGCCACTCGCTGTAACTTGACATCACCTACACGAAACTGTTAGGAAGGGTAAGCAGTGTACATTGAGTTATTTGCCAAGCCTAGCCCCATTCAGGGGATGGTTTAGAAAAGTCTTAGGAGTAGTCATTCTCTAGTTTGAAAACTTTATACTAATCAAAGAGTAAAATAATGTTGGATTTGCTTTATTTATTTGCCTTTTTTAAAAAGTGTACTTTTCCCTAAATTTTGTATTTTGGAAATTTCAAACCTACAGAAAAGGGGCAAGAATAGTATAGTGAAGACTCATATACATTTTTGTTCAGACCAGTTGTTAACATTCTGCCACATTTGCCTTGTTTCTTTGTACACACACATACATGTGGATGTAATGTATTTTCTGAATCGTTGGAGAATTTCTTGCAGAAATCATGACACTTCATGTTGCATACGTCAGTATTTCCTAAGAACAAGGCCATTCTTCTACATAGCTACAATATAATTATCATACTCAGAAAATTGAACCTTGATAATAGGCTTAGTATCTAATACGCAGTCCACATTCAGAGTTCCTGTTGTCCCAATAATGTTCTGTATAGCTACTTTGGTTGCCCCCAACCCTGGGCTTATGGATTGTGCTTAGTTGTCATGTCTCTTATAGAACAATTTTTTAGCTTTTACTTTTTTTTTTTTTTTTTTTTTTTGAGGCGGAGTCTTGCTCTGTCACCAGGCTGGAGTGCAGTGGCGCAATCTCGGCTCACTGCAACCTCCGCCTCCTGGGTTCAAGCGATTCTTCCGCTTCAGCCTCCCGAGTAGCTGGGACTACAGGTGCGTGCCACCACACCTGGCTTATTTGTGTATTTTTAGTAAAGACGGGGTTTCAGCATGGCCAGGATGGTCTCGATCTCTTGACCTCGTGATCCGCCCACCTCGGCCTCCCAAAGTGCTGGGATTACAGATGTGAGCCACCACGCCTGGCCTAGCTTTTATTTCTTTTTAGCGAGACTGGCTTTTGAAGAATTCAGGACTGCGAATATTCCTCAATTTAGCCATGATTCTTTTCTCGTGGTTAGATTCCAGTTAAACATTTTTGGCAGGAATACAATATGGATGAATTTCCCCTCCTCTTCCCACCCTACCCTACCCTGTTTCTTTTTTTTCTCTCTTTTTTTTTTTCTTTTTCTTTTTTTTCTTTTTTGGGAGACACAGTCTGTCATTGCCCAGGCTGGATTGCAGTGGCACCATCTCGGCTCACTGCAGCCTCTGCTTCCCGGGTTCAAGCGATCTTCTCACCTCAGCATCCCAAAGTGGAGATCGAACTACAGGCATGCGTCACCATGCTTAGCTAGTTTGTTTGTTTTGTTTTGTTTTGTATTTTTAGAGATGGGGTTTCACTGTGTTGGCCAGGCTGGTCTAGAACTCCTAGCCTGAAGTGATCCACCTTCCTCAGCCTCCCAAAGTGCTGGGATTACAGGTGTGAGCCTGGATGACATCTTTCTTAGTGCATCACATCAGTGCATGATAATCAGTTTATATCATCCTTGGTAATATGAAATTTAGTCAATTGGTTAAGGTTGTAGCCGCCAAATCTCTCAATTGCAAAAGGTTCATTTTCCCCTTTATATGTAAGTCATTTGCTGGCTGAATTTGAGATGCTGACAGTTCTGTTTTCCAGCAATCACTCAGTGGCTGTAGTATCATTTGAGCCTTGCTTGAACCAACTCTTACGTTGGTATCTTAAAAATAGTGATTTTTCAGAGCTGGGCACGGTGGCTCATGCCTTTAATCCCAGCACTTTGGAAGGTCCAGGAGAGTGGATCACTTGAGCTCAGGAGATCGAGGCCAGACCGGGCAATATGATGAAGCTACGTCTCTGCTAAAAATACAAAAATTAGTCAGGCTTGGTGGTACATGCCTGTAATCCCAGCTATGCAGGAGGCTGAGGCAGGAGAACTGCTTGAATCTGGGAGGCAGAAAGGTTGCCCCACTGAACACCAGCCTTGGTGACAGAATGAGATTCAGCCTCAAAAAAAAAAATTACGATTTTCTGTTTGTAAAATTTATTTTTTATTTCTTTATGGATATTATTTTATAAAGAAGAGCTGTCCTTTCCCTATCTCTGTATTCCATTTGTTTTTATCAATATGGATTTTCAAAAATCATTATATTATTGATTTCGATCATTATTTCCTTTACTCCTCAAATTAACCCAGATTCAGTCAGTGGGAACTTCATCGAGCTGTTTCTCTGACCGTTTGCCGTATCCCCATCAGTTTTTTTTTGGTTTGTTTTTTGTCCTTTCATAGTTTCTGGTACAGTAAGATGTTCTATGATTACCTTTTACTTTACCTGCCTCAGTCCCAGAATCAGCCGTTATCCTAAAAAGCTCCCTGGTTCCTTTCGGTGGGTAATGGCATTGACAAACTGTGATCTGGGCACAAGATGTCTTCATTGCCACATGAATACCTTTTGCTTCTAGGCCCTTTTAAGTGAACAGAGCTAGCAGTGAATATTTTTAAGTATATATGTATGTATTTGTATATATACGAAGATTTAATACTGACTTCCGTAATTCTAATTTAACAGTATAGGTTCTTTTTTCCTTCATTTCATATTTGTATCTTTTTGAGAGCCCTGATTACTTATAACGTCACTATATTTCAAAATATTTACACATTTGCAGAATAGTATACTATGCAAAAGTAGTTTCAGAATTACTACATAAATACCACTATCAACAGTAAATGTATTCTGTAATGTTTATCTTTTTTTGTAATTCTTTTTGTCCTTAAGGTAGTTTTGTGATTCTTTTTATCCTTAGGGTATTTTGCACTGACAGTGTTAAGTTAGTGAGTTCAAAAATTATTTGGATTAATTTGTTTTATCTTCTGGGTGGTTTTATTATCTATTTACTATATAGATTCATTTGTTGATATTAGGATTGAATTTTAGGTTTTTTATGTCCCATTAATTGACAAGTTGACTTACATATTAGGAATTAAACATTAACACAGTTCAAAACTCCAGTATATAAAATGATATACTCAGATGTCCCATCTCTTTCCCTATCCCCTCTCTCCTGTTTCCACTCATCTCCTGAAGGTAATCAGTTCCATTTCTGGGTTATTCTTCCTGTGTATCTTTCTGCAAAAATTGGCAAATGAATCATCTGTGTGTATGTAATGTATATATATATATATATTCTTATTCCCCCTTTTCCTAATGTAAAACCTATTACCTTAGGTGTATTCTTAAGCATGTAGCTTGTTTTCCTTAACATAGTCTCAGGATTTCTAAATCACTCCGTATAAGTTGATAAAAGATCGTCCTTATTCCTTTTTTACATCAGTATATAGTTCCATCTGTGAATATACTATACTTTATTCAATCTTTTCTTTATAGAATGCAGGATGACTGTGGTATTTAGCTCTTATAAGTAATGCTACAAAGAACAACCTGTGTATATGTTTAATTTTTTTCTTATTATTGGAATGTGTCCTCAGTAAATTCCTCAAAGAAGGCAGCTGATATCACATTATATTCATAGCAATTAAAACTAGCACTCTATTTTCATTTTAGGAGACTTGAACACAGTGGCAGGGCTGGAAAAAGAACTGAGTAATGCCAAAGAGGAACTTGAACTGATGGCTAAAAAAGAAAGAGAAAGTCAGGTGAGTTTTCTAGTCAAGTCTTAATTTTTAAATCCCTATTATTTTTTCTTTCAAAATAGTTTCTATTTAAAAGCATATAATTCTCCAAGTAGAATATCTGAGTCCAAATACCAGGTATGACTTTTTTCTTTTTGGGGAAATATATACGTTATTTTTTATATACATTATCTTAACAAGATGCTCCTGTTTTTATACTGGGACCATTAAAACTTACTAAGTGCTGGAAAAACACAACTGTCACTCCCCATTGCTAATTGGAATAAAACAACTGTAAAGGCCAGGTGTGGTGGCTCACACCTGTAATCCTGGCACTTTGGGAGTTTGAGGCGGGCTGATCACTTGAGGTCAGGAATTGGAGACCAGCCTGGCCAATAAGGCAAAATCCCATCTCTACTAAAAATACAAAAATAGCCGGCTATGGTGGCGGGTGCTTGTAATCTCAGCTACTTCGGAGGCTGAGGCAGGAGAATCACTTGAACCTGGGAGGCAGAAGTTGCAGTGAGCTGAGATCATGCCATCAGACTCCAGCCTAGGAAAGGAGCAAAACTCCGCCTCCAAAAATAATAATAGTAAATAACTAGTGTAAACAGGAAATATTGTGTGATTGGTGCTTAGAGTTATGACATTAGACCCATGAAATTAGTTTTAGAAACATGAAAGGGGAAACTTGAGTATAGTCGATGTTTATTGAGTATTCATATGCAATGTACTGTGCTAGGTATTTAAATTAGCACTAATGCTTAAAACTCTATATGAAGTAGATGGTGTCAGCCCCATTATTATAGATGAAGAAGCTGAAACACTGATTTCTCTTATAGAATGGGAGTGGAGAATAGTCATGTAACTAATAAATGCCAAAGCTTTGATTCAAACTCCTGTCTTTTGTGACTTCACATAATTCCTAAGATTCATTTTTCCCATCTTATGCTTTAACTCTCTCGAGCATAGACTTTTCATCAGTTCTTTTAGAAGACGCCTTTCATTCTTAGAGATTCACACCCCCCTGCCTTTCCTATATATATTTTCTTTTTCTGTTCCTAGAACAGAAGAAGTCTGGTGTACCTACAGAGTCATGAGTGAGGAGTAAAATGGCTGATACTCAAGTTGGAAATGTAGGCAGGAACCAGATCACTAGGTTTGTTAAAAGAATTAAATATAGACAGGAAATATGTATTTCCTAAATATATACACAGCTAGTTGCATATTCAACTGTGATGTTGAGGAAATAGGACCACAGTGCAGAATTAGAGACTAAAACTAACAGCTTGTTTGTTACTCTGGCATCTCTTTTAGAAGATCAGTGTCGTGGCTTCCTAAATTAACTTTAGCTAGCTAGTCTAAATAGCTCCTTAGGTTTTTTCCTACTTTTTGCCATAGCTAGATCTGTAATATGGAACCTGTGTTTGTATTTGTGATGGAATTAACATATTTATCTTTTGATTTTATTACCTTATTTCTGCTTACAAACAGACTCATGTTTTTGACTCAATTAGTTTTTAGGATATGAGAATGTGTGGCATTGAAGAAATACCAGTTTTTAAAATCCCCTAGTCTCCTTTCCTTTCTGTGGTTCTACCTTAGCCGTTATCTGATTATTCATGTCAGGTATTTTAGTTTCCACATGCTCTTCCTGTTTTTCTCACATATACCAAATCCAGAGTAATGTTACTTTTTGGTTCTGTCCTGTTTTCAGAATCATGAAATTCTAATGCCTATGAATGGGTATTTTGAAGGGGTGATATTTAGCTATTGCTAGCTTGCTTTAAAGGGTTCATTTAAAATAACTTGCCCTTACCATAAAGACTGTATTGATATGCAGCATCTACTGGGAAGACATTATAGCCTGGTGGCCCTGAGTCAGCTTCCCTGAGTCCACATTCTAGATTTACCACTTACTACGTAGCCCTGTGATTTTTGAACAAGTTCCTTAATTTCTCTCAATCACCTTGTCTGTAAATTGAAGAGTAGAGGTCACTTTATGTATAAATCAAAGAGGAGTTATCTCATAGGACTGTTGTGAGGATTCACTCCTTCATTCATTAGCTAAATGGGAACCTTCTCTCAACTTGGGCTAATGCTGGGGATAAGGTAGTGAATGAAATCAGCAAGGTCTCTGGCTTGATGTAGTTAATTTCCACTGGGGAGATACAGACAATAAACAGATCGATATAGTTATAGATGATAGTAAGTGATATGAGGGAAACAATAGAAAGTAACATGGATGGAAACCATCTTAAATAGGGTGGCCAAAGAAGGCTTCTCTGAGCAGATGACACGTAAGCTGGGACCTGAGGATAAGAAAGAGACAGCCCTGGTAAAGATATTTCGGGCAAAGGGAGTAGTAGTTGTAAAGGCCTGGAGTTAAGAGAAAGTCTGGTGTTCCTGGAACAGAAACAGTCGAGTGTACCTACAGAGTCGTGAGTGAGGAGTAAAATGGCAGATACTAAAATGGGAAAAGCAGGCAGGAACCAGAGCACTGGGTTTGTTAAAAGAATTAACTACATACAAAGCATTTGTTAGAGAGCCCGTGGCATAGTAAATGTTAGCAGGCATGGATATTATCATGATTTTTTTTTTTTTTGAGACAGAGTCTTGCTCTGTCACCCAGGCTGGAGTGCAACGGCATGATCTCCACTGACTGCAACTTCCACCTCCCCGGTTCAAGCGATTCTCCTGCCTCAGCCTCCTGAGTTAGCTGGGATTACTGGTATTCACCACCATGCCTGACTAATCTTTGTATTTTTAGTAGAGACGGGGTTTCACCATTTGGGTCAGGCTGGTGTTGAACTCCTGACCTCATGATCCACCCACCTGGTCTTCCCAAAGTGCTGGGATTACAGGCGTGAGCCATGGCGCCCAGCCTATGATGAGTTTTAATGAAGTTTGTCATAACCAAGTATTTATCATTTTCTGTTAGAACACTGAAAGTTGAGGGCATGTAGTGCTAGCTTTTGGTAGGATTCCTTCAGAGGTGGTGGCATGTTCTTCCATCTGGAGGCATGTACTATTTGGTGATCTCTTGTGATGTTAGCAGCTTTTGGGGTTTGATGCCTAATCCATTAATTCATTAAGGGTTGCAAAATGGAGATATCCTAACGCTATCATTTTTTCCTCTATTAGCTGAAGTACTAACATTAAATCTCCATCTCTTCTTGCTTCTGCTAATGATCACCATTCTTTTTCAGTATCATAACAAGCTTGTTAAACAAATTTGATGTGTTTTATGGTGCCGGTTATGGTGGAAGATATCATTAAAAACAACTATTACATTTTCCTATAAAACATCGTTTGTTACTATACTGCATGGATTTTTTTATTTGATCTTGTAGAGCCCTGTTCTTACCTCATTTTCTCTTGCATTACTGGCTGATACTGATATGATATGCAAAAGCATTTGTCTCCATGTTAAAATGTAAACATGACAGATATTGTTTCCTCTATTCACAGTTGGAACTTTCTTCTCTACAGCCCATGATGGCTGTGCAAGAAGAAGAGCTGCAGGTGCAGGAAGAAGAGCTTCAGGTATGAGACGAGCTGCAGATGCAAGAAGAGCCGCAGGTGAGGGAAGAAGAGCCACAGGTGGGGGAGGAAGAGCCGCAGGTGGAGGAGGAAGAGCCTCAGGTGGGGGAGGAAGAGCCACAGGTGCAGGCTGCTGATATGGAGCCTCTGACCAGGAAAATACAGAGTAAAGAAGACCTCATAAAGGTCCTTCCAAAGTTTTTACAGACCATTGGAAATGTTCACATCTCAGATTACCTGTAGGGCATCTTCAGACAGTATTTGCACACATTGAATCCCTTGCCCGGTACTTATCAATATCTCACTTGAAATTATAGGCAGACTGTTTCAAGAACATTTGTGCTTGTCAACTGCATAATACTTTGATTACTATTTTCATGTTTACACTTACTTTTTGACTTCTGGGACCTGCAAATACAACTGATTTTCCTGAAGACATACCAGCTGTGGAACGCCTGACCCAGGAAGTATAACTTCTTTGGGAAAAAGTTGCTTCAGTAGAAACCCAGGATCAAGAAATACCAGGAAACCAAAGACAACAGGTAAGTTATTGGAATATAGACTCACTCTCTCTCACACACACACACACACACACACACACACACACACACACACACCCCTACTCACTCTCTCTCTCTCTCTCTCTCCCCCTCCCTCCCTCCCTCCATATACATACATATATATATATATATGTATGTATGTGTGTATATATATATATATATATGGAGTCTCACTGTATCACCGAAGCTGGAGTGCAGTGGTACAATCATGGCTCACTGCAGCCTCAAACTCTTGGGGATCAAGGAATCCTCCTGCCTCAGCCTCCTGAGTAGCTGAAGCTGCAGGTGCATACCACTATACCTGACACAAACTTGTTTTTCTACTGTGAAATAAACTGTGGTATTGGTTTTTCATAAATGATATTTCATCGGGAAACTGCTCTGAGGTTTCCTACTTTGGTCATTAGCAGCTATAGATGCCTCTTTCTGACATGTGTGGTTCTGTAAAGAGCAGCAGTTCTTTTGGACACATACCAATAGTTATCCCTCACACTCACACGTAAGTCACCTCCCTCTCAACTGAATCTTTCCCCTCTGTCTGCATTTAACCATGTTCAAATTTCTCCCAGTTGAAAAAAAAGAGAAAGAAACCCCTGCCTTTGCCCCAACTTTCTTTGTAGCTACAGCCCATTTAACCTTTCTTTTCCAAAAGACTCACTTGCCTGTACTCTCTGTCTCCATTAGCATCTCTCTTACTAACTACTCACCCCACTCCATTCTGGCTTTCAACTCTACCTTCAACAATTCTCTGTTGGTTATACATGATCATAGCTCGTTATCTTTATAGCACTGTTACACTCACAATGACAGGCGTCTATGATTAATGAATGTCTTTTTCCTCCGCTAGATAGTAGGCTTTCCCTTAGAACCTGGACTGGAGTCTTTCCCACGAAAGGTGCTCAATAAATATTTACTGAGTGAATGAAGAATACTGGTAACTCCTATTATATATGTTTCCCTCTTGCCTGTCCTGCTTCCCTCTTACTCCTTTCCCTTAGCTGCTTTCCTGTGTTCTAGCTTCTCTCTCCTTTTTATTCTTTTTGCTCCTATGCTTGAATTCCAACTTACAGGGTTTTAAAGATTAGAAAAATAATATGACATTGATTTGAAAACTGTGCAATACTATCAAAAGCTTAAGTACTAAGATAGCAGACTTTTTAAGTCATAGAACATGCTAATGCATTTTCCTGCTTCTCGGGAAAACTATGCAATACTATCAAAAGCTTAAGTACTAAGATAGCGGGCTTTTTAAATCATAGTACGTGCTAACGCATTTTTGTTTCTCAGGGTTAACTGTGGCTTCATGTCTCCCTGCACCATTTGTGTATTTCTTCTTCCCTCTTCTTTTCTCAGTTGCTGCTGATGCTAGAAGGACTAGCAGATGAACAGAGTTGGCTCAGTGAGGACTTACAAGCAAAGAGACAGCTCTCTAGCAGTCTGCTGAAGTTCCATGCCCATCCAGAGGTAAGAAAATGGCTGTTTTTCCTTTTATTCTTTGTTGAAATTTTTATTTCTTTTACTATTGTGTTCTTTTTATGCCTTTTCTTCTTCATTAAGTGTAGATGCTTATGATACTGAACAGGGGATAAAAAACAGGGACAATTACTGGGGCTACCCACGTTGTCATTTGTTTTATGGATTGCTCTGAGCCTTGGTGTCAAAATCTTAAGTCAGGAATAGTGCCTGTTTCACACAGCGATTGCAGAGATCAAATGAGAAGACAGCTTTGGTGTCTAAAACAACGCCTTGCATATACTCAGCATTCAATATATGTTCCCTTCCCTTTGTGATCCATGTCCTGTTAGAGGCTGTTCTATTATAAAAGTAAGGCTACACCCTGTCTCTACTGAAAATACAAAAATTCAAAAATTCGCAGGGCATGGTAGTGTGTGCCTGTAGTCCTAGCTAGTTGGAAGGCTGAGGCAGGAGAATCAGTTGAGCCCAGGAGGCGGATGTTGCAGTGAGACAAGATCGCGCCACTGCTCCAGCCTGGCGACACAGGCACTCCGTCTCAAAAAAAAAAAAAAAAAGTCGGGCTGTAAAGGGCACTGATATTTATTTGATATCATTGAAGAAAATATATTAATTGGGATGGCTAATATCACCCCAAGACCACCAATAGCCATCAGGACGAATATATTTTCTTCTACCTCTTGATTTTTGGTCATATATATGATACTTCTCTGTATCATTTTATATTCTCTTTTTTTCCTCATTTTGCCTTCTCTTTTAGTGTCGGAGGCTCACCATCACTGGCGGCGTGGCTGCAGCCTGCCGAAGCAGGTGAAGGAGCTGGAGCAGGAGGAGGAGGTGCTGTAGGGTTTGGAGATGGTGGCGCGGGGCGGCGACTGGTTCCAACAGCAGCAGCAGCAGCAGCGGGAGTGCCGGAGCGCCAGCGCCGCCTGGGCCAGAGCAGAGGCTGCGCCGACTTTGGGGCCCACTGGGGCGGCTACTGTCCTAGGTACAGGAGGTGGCCCGGGGCCTGGGGGAGCTGCTGGCTGTGGCCTGTGCCAGCCGGGCCCTGCCCACTCCTCCTCCGGGCCCCCCTGCCCTGCCGTGACGTCCACCCCGCCCCGGGCTGGCAGCAGCAGACCATCCTCATGCCGAAGGAGCAGAACCGACTCCTCACCCAGGAGGTGGCCAAGAAGAGTGAGCGCAACGCGCAGCTGGAGCAGGAGGAGTCACGCTCATTAAGCAGCTATTGAGGCTGGCGCCCTGGGCCAGCAGGACGAGGAGGGCTCTGGACTCCACCTTCATCTAGTCCGTGTGAGGCCAGTGGGCCCCCCTGGCCTGGCACTCAGCCCTGCGAGAGCAGGCTCCCCGTCGCACTCATCCTCTCTGTCTGGAGACCCCCGGCAGGCCCAGGCGCAGTCCCTGAGTGGGCGCCTTCCTGCCCCCCTTGCCATCGGGCTCCCCAGGCCTGCCCCAGGCTGACCTCGCGCTGAGCCCTGGACTCTGTTTTGGCCCCTGGTGCTGACATGGGCTGGGCTCTCTTGAGTCCGCATGGCCTGCAGCTACTGCTGCCGCTGTCAGTGGACACGGGAGATCCCTCCACAAGTTAGCAGATCTCTGGCCGCCCCAGCAGTTTCCAGCGGTTTCCAGCGGTGCTGCCCTGGGTCCCCTCTCCAGGGAAAGGCACTGCTCATGCCAGGCTGCACCTCCAACAATGGCCAGTGGAGTGTGCGGGAGGCTCCGATGCGGGTCCAAGGCCAGCTTTCCCCTCCCCAGGGCACCAGCACAGGGTGGCTGTCGCTTGGATGGGAGCAGATGGAGGGGGTGGGGATGGCCTCTAAGCGGGGTATGCTAGCCTGGCAGGGATGGCGGTCGGATTTCCGGTCCCGGCCAAGGCTGAGGGAGTCTGGCTGCAGCAGATCGGGGAGCTTGGCCTGCCTGTGCCTCCTGCAGACCACCCCACCCCGTCCTGGCCTTCCTCATCCTGGCCAGGACGCTGCCCCACGTTGAGTCCCACACAACAACCTGTGCGCCTGTCTCCCCATGAGGGCCTGTCCCCAGGAAGGGGGTCACTCTGGGCCGCCAGACAGCTCCCAGGCACGTCATAGGCAGAGCCTGTTGTCCCTCCTCCCCCACGCCATTCAGGATTCCTAAGGTCTGGAGTCCTCACCACCCTTTTTTCCCCATGCCCAGCCTGACCCCAGGTTTCAGAGGAAAGAAGTCATTTCCCTGAGCCAAGGACAAGGAAAACCCCCAGGGTACAGGAGGAGGCTGGGGCAGGTCCCCTTGGGTGTCACTCCCTGCCCCCCCACCCAGGCCCACTCCTGGTGTGCTGGGGTAGGTACTGGTGGGGGGCCCCTGCCGCAGCCCACTCCGCTGGTGATGGTGAGCCTCCGATGTTCCCCTCAGGCACTGGGCCTCGGGGCATCCCCGAGTCCGCCTCCAGGGCCTGCAGACCGCTGAACCTGTGTCTGCGCTCAGGCTCCGTTCCAGTGCCATGCTCTGGGGCTGCTCGGGCTCCGCGGGGCAGGGTGCCACCTGGACGGGTGGGGGGGCACAGCTGCTCCGGGCTGCGGGCCCGCGCCGCTGGGGCCGGCCTGAGAGCGTGCACGCCCAGGGGCAGGGACTTCCTCTCCAGGACAGGCCACAGGTAGTAGGGGGGCACCGACATCAGGAGCTGCAGCGGCTGCGAAGGCGGCAGCGGCGACTGGTCCCCTGGAGGGCCCTGGCACGCTTGGGGCCCCGAGACACCATCAGCTTCAGCAGCGAGGTGCGCAGGGCGGCCACGAAGCGCTCGAAGATCAAGTCGCCGCTGGCCGGGGCCACCTCCCGTGCTTGGCTCTCAGTGGGGGCCTCCCACACAGCTCAGAAGGAGCTGCTCACCACATCTGTCATCACACCCACAGTGGCCCAAGCCTAGCCCCCCATGCAGGCTGGGAGCACCCTCTAAGCAGGGCTGGGGGCTCTTCCTGGGCTGCTGGAGGAGTTGGAAATAGCCCTGATGTCCACACTTACTGGGCACACAGATGTGGGCACACACACGTGCACGCGGCCACTCTCACTGACCTGGCCGAGGTGACGGACACCAGGAGCCCAGCATGGCTACTGCCTCCACCTCCAAGTCCCCTACCTTGAAGACCTGGGCCAGTGGCACTTGTGGGAAAGGAAGTGAGCACAGGATGGGGACAGGTGCCACACTGAGCTGTGTTCCATTCAAGGCCAGGAGCAAAGGAACAAGAGGCTGTGGGTCTGGCCTGGAGCCTGGTCCTTCTGCTCCTTCGCTGCCTT